TTAAGTGTGAGCCACCATGCCCAGCCTTGATAGGTACTTTTTTTTTTTTTTTTTTTTTTGAGACAGAGTTTTGCTCTGTTGCCCAGGCTGGAGTGCAGTATCACCATCTTGGCTCACTGCAGCCTCCACCTCCTGGGTTCAAGCAGTTCTTTTGCCTCAGCCTCCCAAGTACTTGGGATTACAGGCTCCCACCACCACGCCCAGCTAATTGTTTTGTATTTGTACCAGAGACAGGGTTTCAACATATTTGCCAAGCTGGTTTCAAACTCCTGACCTCAAGTGATCCACTCGCCTTTGCAGACTTCCCCCTTGCTGTTCTAGAGATAGTAAGTTCTCATGAGATCTGGGTGTTTGAAAGTGTGTGGCGCTTCCCCCTTTGTGCTCACATGTGACTAGCGTGCTCTCTCTCTCTCACTCTCACTCACTCACTCACCTCTCTTCATAAGTTGCTCAGTCTCAGGGTAATTTTTTATATTTTGGGGAAGGTATTTTTGTATGTTGGGAAGGCATGATTCTGTCCTTTGTATTAGTGTGGAAATGGACTAATACAGAAAATTGATGCCAAGAAGAGGGGCATTGCTGTACAGCGGTCCTTTTAGCCTGGCAACTCCTATTCTTTGTTCTGGCAACATTTTCTTGAATTACTTTGTTGATTATTTCCTCCCTTCCATTTTCTCACTTTGAGGATATTGAAGCTTCTAAAGTAGGGTTCCATTTTTCTTCTCTTTTATGTTCTGAAAATGTGGAAGCGACTTTGGAACTGGGTAACAGGCAGAGGTTGGAACAGTTTGGAGGGCTCAGAAGAAGACAGGAAGATGAGGGAAAATTTGGAACTTCCTAGAGACTTGTTGAATTGTTTTAACCAAAATGCTGATGGTGATATATGGACAAGGCGGTCTCACATAGAGATGAAGAACTTACTGGGAACTGGAGCAGAGGTCACTCTTGCTATGCTTTAGCAAAGAGACTGGCAGATTGTGCCCCTGCTCTAGGGATCAGTGGAACTTAGAACTTGAGAAAGATGACTTACGATATCTGGCAGAGGAAATTTCTAAGCAGCGAAGCATTCAAGACACAGCTTGTGCAAAAGTATTGCAGGTAATTTTAAAAAAAGAAAAAAAAAAGGCATGGCTCCTCCTAACAGCATGCAGCCATTTGTAGTCACTAAGAGATGGTCTGAAATTGTAATTTATGTTTAAAAGGGAAGCAGAGCATAAAAGTTTGAAAATTTTTCAGCCTGAACCTGTAATAGAAAAGAAAAATCCATTTTCTGGGGAGAAATTTAAGCCAGCTGCAGAAATTTGCATAAGAGGAGCCGAATATTACTAATGGGCCAGGCCCAGGGCTCTGCTATTCTGTGCAGCCTCGGGAGTTGGCACCCTGCATCCCAGCTGCTTCAGCTCCAGCCATGGCTAAAAGGGGCTGAGGTACATCTTGGGCCATTGTTTCAGAGGGTGCAAGCCCCGAGCCTTGGCAGCTTCCCTGTGGTGTTGGGCCTGTGGGTGCACAGAAGGCAAAAGTTAAGAACCTCTGCATAGATTTCAGAGATTGTAGGGAAATGCCTGGATGTCTAGGCAGAATGCTGCAAGGGTGGAGCCTTCATAGAAAATCTCTTCTAGGGCAGTGTGGTGGGGAATTGTGGGGTCGGAGCCCCCACACAGAGTCCCCAGTAGGGCACTGCCTAGTGGAGTTGTGAAAAGAGGGGCCCTCATCTTCCATACCCCAGAATGGGTAGATTCACTGACAGCTTGCACCATGTACCTGGAAAAGCTGCAGGTGCTCAACTGTAGGCACTCAACGCCATTCCATGAAAGCAGCCGCAGGGGCAGAAATGCCCAAAGCCTTAGGAGTGCACCCCTTGCATCAGTGTGCCCTGATGTGAGACATGGAGTCAAAGGAGATTATTTTGGAGCTTTAATGACTGTCCTGCTGAGTTTCAGACTTGCACAGGGCCTGTAGCTCCTTTGTTTTGGCCAATTTCTTCCTTTTGGAATGGGAGCATTTACCCAATGCCTGCACCCGCATTGTGTCTTGGAAGTAACTAACTCGTTTTTTGATTTTTACAGACTCATAGCCAGAAGGAACTTGCCTTGTGTCAGATCAGACTTTGGACTTGGACTTTTGAGTTAATGCTGGAATGAATTAAGACTTTGGGGAACTGTTGGGAAGGCATGATTCTGTTTTGAAATGTGAGGAGGACATGAGATTTGGAATGGGAAGTGGGCAGAATGATATGGTTTGACTTTATGTTCCCACCCACATTTCATCTTGAGTTGTAATCTCCATGTGTTGAGGGAGGAGCCTGGTGGGCGGTGATTGAATCATGGGGACCGACTTCCCCTTGCATTTCTGGTGGTAGTGAGAGATCTGATTGTGTGAAAGTGTATGGCACTTCCCCCTTCACGCTGTTTCCTGCTCCGCCATTGTGAAGAAGGTGCTTGCTTCCCCTTCACCTTCTATCATGATTATAAGTTTCATGAGGCCTCCCAGTTATGCTTCCTGTTAAGACTGCAGAACTGTGTCAATTAAACCTCTTTTCTTTATAAATTACCCAGTCTCAGGTAGTTTTTTATAGCAGTGTGAAAACAAACTAATACAGTATATGTATACATGTAAATAGACAAAGCAGGTGCAGTTTATCTAAGGTGTTTAGGATGGTAACTGGGGTAATTAATAGAAGAGAATGGTAATATTCCATTATTTGATCTGGATGTTCATTACACAGGATGTGTTCATTTCATAAAACCCAAGCTGTACTGTTTCTGATTTATATTCTTCTCTGCATGTTATGCTTCAGTAAACAGCGTAAAACAAACAATGCTGTGGCCTCAGGATCTGGGTGATGACCACCCTTCCCCTAAGTAGGACTCTGAGTGTCACTGCCCAGTGTGGTGTAATGGCCCTCGCCTGCTTGATGGCTTTTCATCCTGGAGGTTCTTCCTTCACTGTCTTCCTAGTGATTTTCATTGCATCTCGCGTTGGATCTCGATTCCTAAATTCCATCTGCTTGTTTTTAATCCAGCTCTTACTCTTCTGGTGGTGGACGCATTTGTACTTCCTGGAGAAGAAAGGTGTTTAATACATGAGAAGTGGTTTTTTTCTAGAACTTAACATAATCTGAAAATGTTGTTCTACTGCCCTCACACTTGAATGATAACTTTCCTGGGTATAAAATCTTAAATTGGAAATTCTCACCTTCAGATGACGTTTGTGCATTACCTTCTAGAGTCCAGTGTTCGTATCAGAAGTATCAGATTCTTGGTCTTTGTGTGTAATCCATTCTTTCCCCTCTCCACTCCCCCTCTCCTAGAAGCTAGTAGAATCTCCCTTTGAGGGCCTGTTCTTCCAAAATGTGATTGGTAGAGATCTCTTTTTATTCATTGTATTGAGTACTGTCTGGACCCTTTGAGCCTGGCAACTCCTATTCTCTGTTCTGGGAAGTTTTCTTGAATTACTCTGTTGATTATTTCCTCCCTTCCATTTTTCTTACTTTGAGGATATTGAAGCTTCTAGAGTAGGGTTCCAGCTTTCTTCCCTTTTATGTTCTATTTTCTGTCCCTTTCTCTCTCCTCCTCTCCTCTTCTTCTTTCTGTTTCTGGAAATGATTTACTTACTTAATCCCTCTGTTTTCAACAAAATGTGTGCTTTATTCTGTTGTCAGTAATGCCTTGAGTTCCTAGGAATCAGAGACCCTCTTTAATATACAAACTTGTACTTTCCGCTTGAAGTGCAGTGTAATGTTGAGGAGGCAGATTAGAAATTTAACTGCTTCTCAAAGACCTTTTATCCATCTTCTATCCTTCAGCAGTTCTCCACCCTAACTATGGTTTCAGCAATGGCTGATGCTGCCGGTCCCAGACATTTCGTTGAATTTGCTTTGTAAATTGGATTGTTTCTTAGCTTTCACCTTTGCCCATACTAGGATTCAGCTCTTTCCAGTCCCCTTATTCAGTTACCTAATTCTGCTTTTCAGCATTCAAAATTTTATTCCTGTTATTTCTTTTATTCTCTTTATTTATGTGAAATGATCTTTTATTTCAATTCCATTACAAAATTTTAAGAGTTTCAGAAAACAACAAAATTAGATCTTACCTTAAGACTATTCTAGGCTGGGTGTGGTGGCTCACCTCTGTAATCTTAGTACTTTGGGAGGCCTAGGCGGGCGGGCTCACTTTAGGCCAGGAGTTCAAGACCAGCCTGGGCAACATAGTGAAACCCCGTCTCTAGTAAAAATACAAAAAATAGCCAGGTGTAGTGATGCACACCTGTAGCCTCAACCACTTGGGTGGCTGAGACATGAGAATCGCTTGAACCAGGGAGGCAGAGGCTGCAGTGAGCCTAGATCGCCTCACTGTACTCCAGCTGGGGTGACAGAATGAGACTCTTTCTTCAATAAAAAAAACTATTCTAGACCTTATTTTCACAAAATTATGATTCAGTCTCTCAAATGCCATTGTCCAGTGCAGCACTGTCCAATGCTGTAGCCACTAGCCACATGGGCACTTGAAATATGGCCAGTGCAATTGAGGAACTACATTTTTAGTTTAATTTTAATAGATTACTTTTAAATAGTGACATGTGCCTAGTGGCTCCTGTATTGGACAGCATACTTCTAGTACCAGTGAATTAAGGAGTTGGAATGTAATTTTGAGTCAGTCTACCACGAGGAAAATTTTTTCTGTTTCCTTCTTCTGATTTATTTATTCCTTTATATCAGTATGGAGTCGTGATTTCTTGTGTTATTCAGTGAGTTATCTATTACTTTTTTTTTTGACATGGAGACTCGCTCTGTCACCAGGCTGGAGTGTAGAGGCGCCATCTTCACTCACTGCAACCTTTGCCTCCCGGGTTCAAGCGATTCTTCTGCCTCAGCCTCCTGAGCAGCTGGGACTACAGGCATGTGCCACCATACCCAGCTAATTTTTATATTTTTAGTAGAGATCGTGTTTCACCATGTTGGCCAGGATGGTCTCAATCTCTTGACCTCGTGACCCACCCCCTTCTGCCTCCCAAAGTGCTGGGATTACAGACATGAGCCACCATGCCTGGCCAGTCTATTATTATTAATCTTGTTGCTCAAATTGTCCCACATTTGGCTGGTGAAACCACTTTAAGGTTTTCTATGTACTTTTGATATGTCCCCATCATTCTAACTCAGTCATTTCTGGATGATTCATTTTAGAACTGGATATATTACAGGCTCATGTATTTGCTCTGCCCAGCCCATGGAGTCCTTCATTTCTGTGAGGAGCCCTGGTTTCTCTTAGTGAAGGATACCGTTTAGACTTGCTTGGTGCTTGCTTGGTGTACTTATTGTATCACTGCTTCTAGGCCATGTCACCTGAAAAGGCATTTTAATTGCCAATGGCTATTACATTGGACAGTACAGATGTAAAACATTACCGTCCTTGCGAAAAAGGAAAAAATTGAGTTACTGCAATTTAGGAATTCAGAGGCCCACTTGCCTGTCTTTACACAGGTGGTATTTAGCCTTCTGAGCAGGATATCTTTACACAGTTGGTATTTAGCCTTCTGAGCAGGATGCAACTAGCTGGTGTTGGAGCTCTGGATAGAAGGAGCCCTTCTGCTAGAAGGATGCTGACCTCTTGCCATTTTTTTCTCTCCCTCTGAAGCCTCCCATTGGTAAACCAGAAACAAGCTGCCAAGGAAGTCTGAATAATTGAGTTGGCAGATTCTAGACCATGGTTTCTCAACCTTGGCATCGTAGACGTTTTAGGCCAGGGGGCTGTCCTGTGCTTTGTAGGATGTTTAGTAACATTCCTAGCCTCCACAAAATTGATGCCAGTAGCCCTCCGTGTCCTGCTAATTGTTAGAACTGAGAGTGTCTCCGTACATTGCTGAGTGATCCCTAAGGGGCAAAATGGCCCCTGGTTGAGAACTACTTCCTAGACCCAGCAGAGGAGAGTGTGGAAGGGTGGGCTTGGAGCTGAGAAATGGTAGTAATAACTGACCACCACCCAACTTGACGTCAGATGTTCTTGAAATGTAGAGGAGGGGCAAAAGAATTAATGTTTATGGGCCTGTGATGATCCTGTAATGTACAGAGATTATCCTTTTTCTTTTTTTTCCTTTTTCATTGTTGAGGAAAGCAAAGATGAGGTAAGCGGTATCTTTATAGTCAGGCAAGATTCAAATCCTGGTAAAGTTTATATTTGTTTGCATGCTCTTAAAGTATGTTCTTGAATTTTCTGGGTTGGTATTATTGCTATACTATATTTACATGGGTGAACTGTTTTTTATGTTACATTTCAGTCATTCTTGATGCATTGCTAACATGGATGCATTTTCTAGATGGTGCCCTGCTAGTGTCATACTGCTCAGAACCATGGCTAGACATTGTAAGTGGAGGAAAGAAATGAATATTTATATTAAAGTCAGTGTTAAAAAACTTTTAAATTTTGTTTTGTATACTTTGGTTTATTTTGGGTTCGCTTCAAACTGTATAAGCACTATCCATTTTCCTCATTTTGTCTTTATGCTTAGTCCCTTCCTTCTTTCTTTTCCATATTATCATATATCACTCTCGGATACAAAGACATCCTCTCTCAGAGAAAGTGTCCCAAAGATCAGCTCATCCTAACCAACTGTTTACTGTACCTTTCAGCTTGCATATCTCATGATCACTTCAAACGAAACACGTCTAAAATCAGACTTGCATGCCTCCTAAACCAGATATAAACCACGCCCCTTTTCCCTCAGTGCTAGAGTCCTCTCTATTTTGTATTAATTATTCCTAGTCCTATCCAGAGTTTTATGTTTGTTGTGGGTCCCTTTATTTTAAAATCCTTGAAGAAACTGGAGCAGACATAAAGAAATGTAATTTAACAGTTGAAGGTAGGATTTCAGAGGACTTGCTAACATTTTAAATTGGGTAGCCTACAAAATAGGAGAAAGTGACTTAATTCTTGTGTGTGGTGAGTTTTTGAGACTGGATTTAGAATAACTGCTCCATATGTAGAGAACATTAGAACAAAGGGACGTGAAGTTATATTTCAGTGTTTTAGAGTGGACTTCAGGGACTGCTTGGTATGAAGAGTTGTGTTAGGGTGAGCCTGTTGTACTTCCCCAACTAGACACAAGTCATCTTTTATCATTTGTATATGTTTGGCTGTGTTTCTGTAAATCTCTATCTCTTAGTCTTCATACTGTTTTAAATGCTTATTTACTTATCCTTATTCCCCATTTAGGCTCTAAGCACTAAGTGGGTACTGCAAGTGCTCAAAAATTTTGGTTGCGAGAAATAGTAATGCTAAGTCAATGAGAAATGATCTTAAAATATAGATCCAGGCCAGATCTTTTCCGACCTCAATACAAAGAGCTGTCATGTGCCTTACTTGACTGGGAACCTATAACAAATACATGTGCAGACAATTCTAGTTTAGTTATTTAAAAAAACACATTTAGAAAGCAGTATTTTTTCAACTCCCTCCTTATATATCATGTGATACATTAAGGATTTCCATTTTTCCTTCTTTTTCTTTCTTTTTTTTTTTTTTGAGACGGAGTTTTGCTCTTGTTGCCCAGGCTGGAGTGCAATGGCGCGATCTCGGCTCACCGCAACCTCCACCTCCTGGGTTCAGGCAATTCTCCTGCCTGAGCCACTCGAGTAGCTGGGATTACAGGTGTGCGCCACCATGCCCAGCTAATTTTTGTATTTTTAGTAAAGATGGAGTTTCACCATGTTGGCCAGGATGGTCTCAATCTCTTGACCTCGTGATCCACCCGCCTCGGCCTCCCAAAGTGCTGGGATTACATACAAGTGTGAGCCACTGTGTCTGGGCTAAACACTCTTATAATGACTTTCCGTAATTGTTTGAGAAAAAGGAGGACCGGGCGCGGTGGCTCACGCCTGTAATCCCAGCACTTTGGGAGGCCGAGGCGGGTGGATCACGAGGTCAAGAGATTGAGACCATCCTGGTCAACATGGTGAAACCCCGTCTCTACTAAAAATACAAAAAATTAGCTGGGCATGGTGGCGCGTGCCTGTAATCCCAGCTACTCAGGAGGCTGAGGCAGGAGAATTGCCTGAACCCAGGAGGCGGAGGTTGCAGTGAGCCGAGATCGTGCCACTACACTCCAGCCTGGGCATTAGAGTGAGACTTGGTCTCAAAAAAAAGAGTGTTTAAACAGTAGACCAAGAAGTCCCAGGCCAGTGGGGAGGGGCATTAACTGTGTTTCCCCCTTTCATGATTTGAAATGACATTATTCTCTTACATGTAGCGTGTTTTTCCAGAGGCCACCTATTGCTGTGCGTACATTATTAGCCAAGTATATGATGGGAAGGCTTTGTAAACAGCTCTGAGACCCTGTTATCAGTGCTCAGTGGTACACAGTCTTTGCATGGCCTATAAGTTTTTCCTGTAATTTTCAAAAAGTTGAGAAAACACTGCTTTAGAGTAAGAACTTAACATAGTGACTTTAGGTAGAGCTTTGTTTGGTGATCAACCTCTGAAAATAATTATCTGTAAGCACCTGCCCCAAGAATGATTCCTGAACCTCAGAATTTCATTCCAGAGAAGTTATGTAATTGGTAGAATCTTCTTAGAAAATAAAAAGTCGAGGGAAAAACAATAAAACAAGGCATTAAATATATATCTCCATATTATAATAAATAGGTTCTGAAGGCATCTACCTCTAGGGGAAAAAGGATTGTTATCAAAAGATATGCTTCAGTAGGCAACCCTTTATCTTAATCACTGGTTTGCCACTGAACGGCTCTGTGCCTTTGGAGAAAGTTACTTAGTGCCTGTGTGCTTCCGTTTATTCATCTGTAAAAGAGTCAGCATTTAAGTGACCAAATCTCTAGCAGATTAAAAATCATTACAGTACCTTCCTTTAAAAGGGCCTGTTATTTTTTGGAAAGTTGGAGTCTAAACCAAGCTCTCTCTGCCTTGTTCCCACAGACCTGCCTGCAGAATTTTCAAAACAGAGCAGTTTCTACCTAGTAGTGTGCATTGTTTAAAGCAACTAAACTGAATTGCACGTGTATATGGAAATACTGGGTGTGTGTGTGTGTGTGTGTCTGTGTGTGTGTGTGATTTTTTTCAAAATACAGCTAGTGCTCGACTTACGACCATGATTGGTTCCAACAGGCCGGTTGTAACACGATTTGCTTGTAAGTTGAGTAGGCTATATGTACAGTACTGTGAAATGATGTTATAAAAATCTTTTTTTTTTTTTTACCTCCCCCCACCCTCATAAAAATCTTTAAGTCATATTTTATCATAATTTTCTTTCATGATTGTTATATATTATAATTTTCTTTGTTCATTTTATGCCATTTGTATCATCTCTACACCATTTTGTTTCTTATTTTTACATTCGTCAGGTTTAAGTAAAACCCTGCATTACCAGTACAACTGGTTTAATACGTATTTGCAAAACATACAAAATTACAAAATACAGGTGTAAAAAAAACCATAGGAAACATTTTCCCAATTGCAAAACATATCAAAATATATAAACATGCACGAAACATTTTATTGGCCGCTGGTGCTTGGCTGCGGATCGTTGATGTCGTCATCTGAGGCAGCAGTTGGGGGTTACCGGAGTTGGTTTTTTCATAAACGTGGTGAGCTTTGTCTGAATTGTATGTTTCTTTTTTTCTTCATAAGTTTCACAATATGGATGAAACACATCGTGCGCCATCCAGTCAATCCTTGCAAATCGTTCGATGTTTGGGTCCATTGCTTTGAAATGTATAAGAAGTTTATTGGGAGGGGTTTGATGAAAAATATCCGAGACACAAAACACAAATTGCTGTACCAAGTCTGGGATAACAGTTGAAATGGTGCACACAGAGATGGTAGTGCTGCCGGAAGCTGGTCCGCACTGTTGTACTCCCAGCTGGGCAACGTTTGTGCTGCAAGACGCGGAGCAGTCGGGGCTAGCGATTGTGGTCGTAAAGTTGAATGGTCGTAAGTTGCATAGCTCATAAGTCGATCAATACCTGTAGACATGAGGTCTCACTATGTTGCCCAGGCTGGTCTTGAACTCCTGGGCTCAAGCAATCCTCCCGCCTCAGCCTCCCAAAGTGTTGAGCTGACAGACGTGAGCCACCTCACCTGGCCTTATTTTCAGATTTTACATATAAAATTTTTATCACAAGACCATGGCTGACAGGGGATTCATTTCTTAAAAACCTGTTTCCCGTTAACCACCTTATTACATGTTAAAACTTACAACCTAGTTTTCCTGGGCTGCTGTTGCCACCTGGTGGCTTACTCCTCGAGGTATTAGGTGCAGCATTTTTACCTACTTATTTTTTTTTTCTGCTATAGAAAACAAGTACTTGTTGTTCAGGGCCTTCATCCCCCACCTCTACTTTCATTATTCAGTAATTCTTACATCAAGAAGGCTAGGAGGTGGAGGTTGCAGTGAGCCAAGATCGCACTACTGCACTCCAGCCTGGGTGACAGAATGAGACTCTGTCTCAAAAAAAAGACTGAGCTGGGTGTGGTGGCTCACACCTGTAACCCCAGCACTTTGGGAGGCCAAGGTGGGCAGATCATGAGGTCAGGAGTTTGAGACCAGCCTGGCCAACATAGTGAAACCCCACCTCTACTAAAAAAATATAAAAAATTAGCGAGGCATGATTGTGGGTGCCTGTAATCCCAGCTGCTTGGGAGAGTGAAGCAGGAAAATTGCTTGAACCTGGAAGGCGGAGGTTGCAGTGAGCGGAGATCGGGCCACTGCACTCCAGGCTGGGCAATAGTGCGAGACTCTGTCTCAAAAAAAAAAAAAAAAAAAAAAATCTATTATAGACACACATTTATTCCCTCTGCCTTTCTCTTCTTTTTGTGCTCTTATCTAATTACTCTAGGAAAACGTCCCCTTCTCTTTTCATTTACTTCATTCATTCAACAGATGTTATTGAATCCCCACATTGTCCCAGGCACTCTTTATCCACCTCCTCTTCCTTCATTTACGAGTCAGAAAATAGCACTAATCATGGCTGAGTATAATAGTAGATTGAGTAATATAGAAGCTTCTCTATTTCCAGATAAGAGGCTCTGAAAGGCTGTTCCTAAGCTCACTCTGAGCAAGTCCATTGTTGCTAAGATAAGTTTCTGTTTTCAGAACAGGGATGCATTTCTACAAACAAATAAGAGTGTAGATCAGTTCTTTAAAATCAAGCAAACCAATCAGTTATTTTAAAGTGGACCAAGTTCTATTATACTGAAAACTTTTAGAAATGAATTAAACTTTCCTCTTTCATAAAGTTCATAAAGAACTCTTTAAATTCAGTCTTTCAGCCATTTTTCCATTCACTTTGTTGGGCAGATTTGAACCAGCTTTAAATCATCTATAGCCACAAAAGAAGTTTTATCACACTTTCCACCTACTCATGACTTT